AGAAATGCGCAAAGGTGCTTTTGCTGGTGCGGATGGGGCGGAGGAGGTCTTGATAATAAAGTCGATCCTGGTCTAGACGGAGTGCCCGAGCATAGGCAATTTAACAAAAGTCGTTGGCTCCCCTGTCGTCAAATGTCGGGGGCGCGTGGAGTAAAAAGGGACAACTACTGCGTAGAGCAAAGCTGGTGGGGTAGCTAGCTAACTTTATGTCAACCAAGCAGACAAGCAACCAGTTTGGCCCGGACGCGACGTCACGCGCAGAAGGTGATGGATGGATGAAAACCGTTGGCAAGGGAGGAACAGAGAAAGTGGTGAGACATGTACTGAAGTGTATCCGCCGCGTCGGGTATCGAGGGAGGGGAGTGGGAGAGAGAAAAACCGGGACGAGAACGAGAAGCGAGGGTGGTGATGTTTCTTTTTTTATTTTATTTTTTATTTTTTATTTTATTTTTTTCTTCTTTTTTTTCCCTTTTTTTCCATTGTTTTTCCTTTTCCTTTTTTTCTTCTCTTTTTTTCCTTTTTTTTCTTTTTTTTCTTCAAACTTTCTTTTTTCTTTTTCCAATTCCCAAGATCCCGTCAATCAAAATTGGCCCGTGCTTAATAACACGTTACAAGGTGCGCGCAGGATTTTTCTCGGGGTCCCATGGACAAGGTGCTCGTGCGCCAGTGTGACAGTGTGCCCGGTCTTGCAGAAAGGATTGGGAAAAGATAGGTAAGTCTAGATTCTTGTATGGCCTGAGAAATAGAAAGAGAATCGCTGAGTGATGGTCCATCAGAAACGCAGCCAATCATCTAAGGCCCCTGTCGCGACCGTTCCTGAATCCACTTTCACCCCACTCTCTTCGACTTCTTGACGGCGGCGTCCATCTCCAAATGAGGGGCTTTCAGCCTTGAAAATTCGATTGGAAATTCCCCATTGATTCCAACGCTAGATATCGGCGTTCCCTTTCTTCCAAGAAAGATGGTTCAGAACATCACCATCCAACGGCCCCTAAACGCATAAACGCATGCGCGCCGATGCTTCGGGCCTTAATTGGACCTTCCCGGCCTATAGCAAGAAACATTTCTCCCCTCCTTTTCCGGACAAGTTCACCACCAACACAGCAATCATCTCCTTCCCCCCCCCCCGCCCCAAAATATGGCCAGCGATGAGGTCATCTTGCGACAGTTCGGCTGTTGAGCCGATGCTGATCCCAGGAACCCCCCGTTGTCTCCGAATCCCGGATCCTCGGCTACCTTACGTACACACGCCGCCGTGCCGGGACCGCTCCAGCATGGCCTGCGGGATGAAAGAACGTGGAATGCGGGTGGGTGGACCTCGGCGTATGCACCCGCAGCAGGCTCTTCCCTGATGACTACAAAAAAATCAAAATCTCTCTCTCACTCTGTATTTTCGATACCTTACTTTGACTTGTCTGACTGAACCCCAACCCTGTACTTTGATATCGAACCACTCAGCAAAACAAAGATGAACGGAACCAACGGGGTCAAGAAGCAGACCCTCGACAGGGCATCCGAGGTGGAACATGTGAGTTGTCCATCTACAATGTAAACGTGTCGATTGCAAAAGCTAATCATGTGCTTGTGCTGTGCAGCTCATTGATGCTGTGAAATCCTTAATCATCCCCTTCATTCAGGCCGCCGATGATGCTGTGCCATCCAGGGCTGCCGGGGAACTGCTCCCAAACAGGAACGGTGTCGTCCGCAATGCCCTAGTCGAGTCCAAGGGACCGGAAGAGCTGGTCAAGGAATTGGCCTTGTCTCTCCCTCAAGTAGGCCGTGGCGAGGAGGGTCTCTTACAGACGATCCAAGATGTCCTCAAGCACAGCGTCAACACCTGGGACCAGGGGTTCATGGACAAGCTGTATGCCAGCACCAACCCCGTATGTTGCTGCTCTAAAACTTTTGTTCGTCAGTCATCTAACTCGGTTACACAGGTCGGTGTTATCTCCGAGCTCGTCCTCGCCGTCCTCAACACAAATGTAAGTTGTCTCCCTCTCATCTCACCCATCATCCATCCATTCCTAACCCCCCCTCCCAGGTCCACGTCTACCAAGTCTCCCCAGCCCTGGCAGTAATAGAAAAGCACACCGCCAAAACCTTCGCCTCCCTCTTCGGTTTCAACGGTCCCCGCGCCGGCGGCGTAACCTGCCAAGGCGGCTCCTCCTCCAACCTCACCTCCATAGTCATCGCCCGCAACACCCTCTACCCCGAATCCAAACTCAACGGCAACTCCGCCGCCCCCAACGGCCCCTTTGTCTTGTTCACCTCCTCCCACGGTCACTACTCGGTCGAAAAAGCCGCCGTAACCTGCGGCTTCGGTTCCTCCTCAGTCTGGACCGTCCCCGTCGACGCCAGCGGCAGGATAATCCCCTCTGAACTCCGCCGCCTCGTCCAAAAGTCCCTCGACCAAGGCCTCACCCCCTTTTACGTCAACGCCACCGCCGGCACCACCGTCTTGGGGAGCTACGACCCCTTTGAGGAAATCTCGGCCGTCTGCAAGGAGTTCAACCTCTGGATGCACATCGACGCCTCGTGGGGCGGCCCGGCCATCTTTTCCGCCGCTCACAAGCACAAGCTTGTCGGCAGTCACCTTGCCGATTCCCTGACTGTGAACCCGCACAAGATGCTCAACTGTCCGGTTACGTGCTCGTTTCTGCTGGGGCCGGACATGTCGGTTTTCCACAAAGCAAACACCCTTCCGGCGGGGTACCTCTTTCACAGCTCGGCTCCGTCTGACGTGTGGGATTTGGCGGATTTGACGCTCCAGTGCGGGAGGAGGGCTGATTCGCTCAAGCTGGCGCTGGCGTGGATTTACTACGGGGCGGAGGGGTTTGGGAGGCAGATCGAGGCTGCTTTCGAGCTGGCGGCGTATTTTGCCGGGTTGCTGGAACGGAGCGGGAACTTTGTGCTGGTTAGTGAGAACCCGCCGCCGTGCTTGCAGGTTTGTTTTTATTATGCGCCTGGGGGGAGGTTGAGGGGGACCGGGGAGGGGAACACGGAGGTCACGAGGGGGATGGTGGAGAGGTTGGTGAGGAGGGGGTACATGGTTGATTACGCGCCGGATGTGAGCAAGGAGAGCAGGGGGAGCTTCTTTAGGGTGGTGGTTAATGCTCAGACGTTGAGGGGGACGGTGGAGGGGTTGGTGAAGGGGTTGGAGGCGGTGGGGAGGGAGGTGGTGCCTCAGTAGAGGGTGGGATGCGCGATCAGACGAGGGGTAGATGGGTGTGGTGTGTAGAGGAAAGATAAGGGGTGGATGGATGTGCTTGACAGGTCTATTTGAGGGCCTGGTAGATAGATACCTTGCAAGAGGAACCATAGCGGATTTGGGAAACAGGGTGGCAGATAGCTGCAAACAATCATGGAGCAAAACGGAGGTATGCTTGAGGGGGAGCCGTAAAGCTACCCCTCATTGTTCGTTACCCACTCACCAAATCGGTGCCTCTTTTGCAGGTAAGTAGGTGCCACTTGTTTACCTTTCAAAATATCGACTCCTCGACTTCCCATCTCTTGCGACTTTCATCACCCAAACCTTTCTCCTCCCAACACCACGACCTTCAGCCCTTCCTGACCCAGCAAGCCTTGATCTCAAATCGACTCGCATTGTCTGTCCTCTGCCACGTCAGTGGATGATGGCTTCAACAATTCCCAGTAGGCTCACCAGGGTTGGATGGCCTCTGGTGAGACCTCCAAGCTTCCGACCATCGCTGCGAGCGCACATCGTCCCGAAAATCAGCCGCTTGGCTGCCGTGTAAGTGAATGTCTATGTGTAGGGGACGACGAGAAGATGCTGACAAAGCAGAATTAGCAGACCTGGCATACTGGGCAGAACAACAGCAAACACTCTCTTTTCCGCCACTTTTCTCCGGCCGCTTCACCACAGCGTCTCCCACAGCAGTGCCTGTGACTTCAACAGCCCTTGCCGCTGCTCTGGTTGCATGAAGGACAACCGGCAACCCTATTGCGAGATTTGCAAAGTTAACCCTACTGCTCACCAAGACGCAGCATTTGCCCGAGACCGGAAGGGTATTTCCGGCTACAGTTTCACTTCCTACTGTGATCAATGCTGGGAGGGAAAAACTAAAACTGGGAAAAGCAGCGGTTCGAGAGAGAGTGGAGACAGAAACAGGGCGACGACGCAGTGTTGAGCACGAAAGAGGCACAATCATGCGAATGGAGCCGGGAGAAGAAACGTCAGTTTTCGACAGTAATAGCAAAGACATCTCCTTGATGGCCTTCGGGAGGAACTCTTGATCACAAAGGTCCGCGGGAGGCATGTGTGTGACGAGAAACGGGTTGATACCATCGACTTTAAATCATGGATACAAGATGCGATGATGATCATTGTCGGATTGGCGCGTGTGGGCGTCTTGTGGGGAAATGAACTACACTTCCATGTTGATGCATAGATGGCAGCTGGTTTGGGAGTGTCGAAGGGGTGTCTTGTAGACGTAAGAGGAAGATTCGAGGTACAACCGATAGCTAAGACCTTATAGGCCAGGTTGAATGAAGGGTTCTTGCTTACAGACCATGAAGAAAATAGTAGGCACACGGATTGGAAGACAGTAAGTTCACGACACGGCTTTCACGAGATCAGATGGACATCAAACATGATCCCCCAGATCTCCCGCCAAGCCAAACCGTGATGGGCGAGCGGGTCAACTCAGGTGTGTTTGCCAATCTTGGCTGTTGTATGGATATCAAGACACCAAAGTGGTGGCACGCTTTGTCGAGAGAGAAGCGGACACCAGAGCTGGGGATTGAAAAAAGGTGGGGAGGAGGTGGGTGTGTGAAAAGCAAAGAGTGGACAAGATGGATATTTAATCTGTGGTTGCTTCTGGTTGGAAGGGCGGGATTTTGCTTCATGAGGACCGGTATCCAAGAGAGTAACAGGTATGGCGACCAGACCAGACAGTTGAGATTCTTCATGATGGAACAAAACAAAACTTGAGTAGACTTGGACTGTGATCATCCGTCTATTTCGCGAGAAAAGCAGCCGAGAGAATGACCACAACTGCAGTAGCAAAGCCGACGAATGCTGTGTGTTGTCTGAGGACTTACAAGCCCCCCCACCGCGCAAACATCATCCCCCCAAAACCCCGTGTCACCCCTAACCTTCCCAAATCCCAAACCTAAACCCATTTCCCAGCGCCAAATCCCATGCATGTCACATCATAACCCCGCCGTAGCTATATCACTTGCATCATCATCCCCCCAAACTCGTCTATTCCCCATCTGGCCATCTATTCCCTCCCCTGCTGCTCCTCAACCCACTCCCTCCACTCCTTGTAACCCTCATACTCCAACTTCTCCTTCCGCCCCTGATACCTCACAACCCTCAAAGCCACCGCCGCCCAAGAAGACCCCCTCCCCGACCACCCGGCCTTCCTCATCAAGCTGACCAACGTCTCCTCCTTTGTCCACCCCTGCTCGGTAGCCACGTCGGGCAAATACGTAGCCCCGTACCGTCTCCCCCGTTCATAAAAACTGATCCTGATCCCGTGCTTCCCCAGCTCCCAATCCATCTTATCCTTTGCATCCTCAAAGTCCGTGAGCAAGGTAACAGCAACCTGCAGCTTTGGCAGCTCCGACAGCGAAATCGGATGGAACCTGCTGTCCTGCAGGGCCGAAATCAGCGCGTAAGAGGAGAGCCCTGTGGCGAGGGGTTGGGGTTCGAATGTGCCGATGCAGCCGCGGAGGACGTACCCGTGGCGGGGGTGGTTCGTGTTCCAGGTTATGAAGAGGGGGCTGCTGGAAGCGACCTCTTCTCCTTCTGGGGGCGCAGGGGAGGAGGAGAGGGATGTTGCTGGGGTTGAGGAGGTTAGGGAGAGGGAGCTCGAGGAGGAGGAGGACGTGGACGAGGAAGATGAGGCTGCCAGCCGGCGGAGGGCGGGGGATTGTTTAACTGCTGCTTCGCTGCTGCTGCTGCTGCTGCTGCTGCTTGCCTCGGATGATGTTGTTGCTGCTGCTGGTGTTGTTGAGGAAATGTATTCGGCCCATGATTTCTTGATTTGGTCGAGGGTCATGGGCTTGCGGCCTTGGAGCTCGGCGGCTAGGGTTTCGAAGCAGTAGAGGCAGTGTTCGACTGATGCCATTTTGGGTGGTTATTGCTTTGTTGTTGTTGTTGTTGTTGTTTTTGTTGTTTTTTGTTTGTTTCTTGTTTGTTCGTTTTTTGTTTGTTTTTTGGGTATTTCTGACGGCGGTTAGAAACTGACGACGAAAAAAAAAAAGAGGAAACATATAAGTTTCCGGCCCGCCGTCAGGGCCCAAAATCAAGAAAGCTGCTGGCGAAGGCGGTGGCACATCCGGACGGTTTCCAGGAGAGGCGGGGGAATGGAGGGGGCAATCGATCCGGGGAGTGGTGGATAGAGACTAGACCAGAGAGGGGGGGGGGCGTTGCAGTTCAACAGCTGGGAGACACACACTGCCGTGACAGGGGCGGTACTCGTAGCCGCCAGCCCCACCCATGGAATTTTGTTTCTCGGGACGACTCGGTCCAGTGTTCCCACGCGCGCGCTGAAGTTGGCCAGCTGCCGGTCGTCACTTGTTGTGTCCAGCGGTAATTTCTTCCCACGGGTGTTATCGTGATCTGTTGACCTGGAAAAGTTGGGATGAATCTAGGAACTTCTGGTTGTTTGAGCGCAATGACGAAGGGAGAACCTTGATGTCCACCAGCGGGTCTTCTGGCAGACTCCACACTCTCTGACGCACCCCCGTCATGCATTTGGCCATGCGTCGTCAAGATGTGGTTGGAAATGCTCTTTTGCTTGTGTTTAAGTAAGTAAACTATCTATACCTGCAATCGGCAGCTGTCGCCTTTATGTTCTGTCTCATCACAAGACCCTTTGTCTCTCTACAGTCGGGTCCAACAAGAGCCCATCACCTACCTCATTTCCCGAGGCGACCACAAACAATGGCCCTCGACTAGGCCAGCACGTGGTCGATTGGTCGATCCATCCGGCCTCTCAGCTTCTGATGTCACAAGAGAGCAGCTGAGAGCTTCTGATGTTGAGGGGTTGATAACAGCAGCGCCAAAGTCTTGAAACAAGGGGAAAGCTCCGACACCTGTCCACCAGCTGTCTCTTGGAAACACCTCGACTGCCAGTTCTCCATCATCTTTGCAGGTGCTTGTCATTGCTGAGCACCGGCGCACGCACAGGGCAGGGAGCTCTGGCAAAGCTGTGCGATGCTGCGGCACACAGACACGGGAGCCCACTCCGCCATCTGGAACGTCCCAAGCCCGGCTCGCCCGTCTTCCGGCAGCTCTTCCCAGCTTCGGCGTCCCTTTTGCCAATGCAACCCCCCGAAGCGGACACACTGCCGGTTTCAACCCCTGGATCAGAAAAGCTTCATTCCCCTAGCTCCCTTTTCGACGTCGCTTTGTTTCGTGCCATTCGCAACAAGCTTAACGGCTTGACAACGAGAGGCTAGCAACCGGCCCTTCCAAGAAGGTCTAGATTCAGCGCCTGGACCGGCGCTTCCAGATGTCTTGGGAGATATGGTATCTTCTGTTGACTTGATACTCGCATCCCCAGCAGCACATCCCAAAGAGCAACCCCCGGCTTACTTACCCCGTGTTTGCCATGAAGCCCTCGTCTCAAGTATGTACTTGTTTGGATTCACGGGTGTGGCGCATGCTGATTAGGGGGGGAGATCTGTGAACAGATCTCCTTATGTACCGCTTGCCCCCTTCTGAAACACACGGCTCGTCCATCAACCATCGTGGATCCTGATCTGCCACCAAAGAAAATACAAATATCAATGCCGTTGCTCCCCTCCCCGATCCCGTGTCTTGTCCCTTTCCTCTCTCCATCCCGCTAGCTTGTTCAACCTTTTGGCCGTGTTTTATTTTCCGTCTTCTTCTTCATCTTCAAGTCTGCATATTTTCATCTGCTCGTCGCCGGTCGACATTATCTTACTTCCTTTCGTCTCTCTCGACATCAACATACTCAACCAAAACCAGTCAACATGAAGTTCATCGCCGCCGTCCTTGCTCTGGCCACTGTTGCCTTTGCCTACCCCACCGTCAACATGAATGGTGAGTTAAGAGTCAGGAGGGGTGGTGGCAAAAATCTACAGGCAGACACGCTGACCGACTCTTATCTAGCCCCGGTCAAGCGTCAAAACATTGTCACCGCCGACGTCTCGGCCCCGGCCATGACCGATGCCTCTGGCAACGTCGTTCCGTTTGACGCCACCAGGGTTGACCAGGCCCGCCGCAAGCTCTAAGAAGCTTCCACAAGCACACAGTAACAGCACATTGTGGGCCTGCCAAACACCAAACATGACGGCCCAGCACAACACATATAATGAACGGCTCTACTTTACGACTCTTTGATTGGGGGAAAACAATGGGAAACGGAACTTTATCGGAAAGGAAGGGGATAGGAGGGGGGAACTGCCACAACATCTTTATCTTTCAGCGCCGGATAACAGGAACCTCTCTGGGCAGATTTATTCTTTTGGCTTGCTTGCTTTTTGGGGTGGATGTTTTGGGGGAAAATAAAACACATTTTTTTCTTGGCCTTTTTTTGGCGGGGGCATCACTTCATTATATCCTAACCTGAACTCCTTGCTCCGTGAACCAAAAATCATCGACAAAACTCCTGGTATCCAAAACAAACCTCCTCCCAGCCTCACCTCAACAACCCATCCCTATCCCCCTCCCTCCTCCTCCCTGCATCCTCCCCCTCCTCAGCAATCACCTCGGTCCTCCAACTCTGCTGCCTAGAAACATGAATCTCCGGCAAAGCCATGTGCACCACCCCCGCGTTGCGCACCACGCTGCCACTTCGCCCGGTCATGCTGCTGCTCGGACTGACATCACTCCCTACTTGCCCGCCAGCAGTCCAACCAAGCTCCCCGCTCGGCGCCCTGTCAATCTCCCTCTTCAACCCGGTCCCACTGGGCGAGATCTCTCTGACTGTGACACCCGTCCTGCCTGACGCCACCCAGCCGTGTTGTTCAGAACTGAGGTGACCGGTCTGGGATTCACATGACGTGTCCCACTTTGCCCCCCCCCCCCCACTGACACGACGATCCTCACTCTCCACCGTCCTGGCGTAATCATACCTGTAACTGGCACTATCCCGATCATAAGGCTTGACAATCCCCGTGATCCTCCCCCCCCCCCCCGGCTCCAGCCATAAAAATCCCCGGTTCCGCACGCTTAACCTCGTCAGTGAGGTGATATTGTTCGTATTTTCTCGATTCCCTGTGCTTGAGGACCGCGTACGCAAACGAAGACAACGAAGCAGCAAGAAGACCACAGTCAAGACTGAGCCCGATGGTGGGGTAATGCCCATCTAGCTGTCGCAAATGGGCTACAACATCGAGACCCAACACGGCAAGCGAGAGCACAAGTTTGACGAGGTTGGTGGAGAGGAGGAGGAAGGGGGTGAGGCGGGAGGTGATGAAGCGCGCCAGTTCGAGGATTGTGAGGAGGAGGGAGAGGAGGTTGAAGAGGATGTTTGTTGCTTCCCATCTACGCGTTGCGAGCAAAATGTTAGATGGTAATGGGCGGGAGGGGGGCAGACATACACTACTTCTACCATGGGAATGGAACCGTTCTTTTTCTCGGCCGAGTAATGCTCGAATGTTTCTGCGAGTCGGTAGGCGAATATACCCATGAGGCAGAGGAGGATGAGGATCTGGAGGAGCCAGGAGGGGAAAAGGAGTGAGCGGCGCCACCGGGAGCGGTCGTGTTGGAAGGCTTCGAGGTCGAGTTTGTTGACCATTTTTGCCTGTTTCTACAGCTACGCGACGACAATATCCAAAGCAATGATATTCGACAAAACTCTCAAGTTCTCCAAAGTCTTGTTATCCCATTCCAATTCATAAATAAAAAACCCTCTCAAAATCCCAGCCGCGAGATGGTTGGGGGGGGGGAAGGGAGGGGGGCAGGAACAGAAAAGTCCAACAAAGTATCAGGCTGATGCTGTTGCTGCTGCTGCTGATGCTGCTGATGCTGCTGATGCTGCTGCTGTGCTTTGCCCGTGGCCGTATGTTTGATGGCTATCAGGCTTATGTCGTGTCGTCGTCGGGTTCCGACGTTTGGTTTCGCACAATTCTCCCAATAATTCGCAAACAAAAAGCTTCATCCAATATATTCATCAAGAAAGAGAAGAAGAAGAAGAAGAAGAAGAAGAAAAGAAAAAGAAAACCCAAAAAGACGAAGCGACTCACACACGCCCGAGAGGCTGCCTCAGCTTCTGCTCAGCCCTCAATCCGCCCGCCATCTTATTTAACATCACTCACCACCCCACCACGTCCCCTTGACCGACAGCTGCTGCACGTCTTTCTTTTGCTCTTCTCCAATTAAACAGCTCAGCCCCTCCTTCCGAAAGCGCGTCGTCGTCCTCTGCCTACTAGCCTGAGCCTTTTTCCCCTCTTCGAGCCCAACGGCTGAGGGGTTGCAGATGTCGGTCACCTCATCATCAGGTGCGTCAAGCTCTGTTGTCAGTCCACAGCGCCCCCAGAAGGCTGTGAAGAAAGCAGAGTCGACCTTGGCTTGCCTGGAGGCCGTTGATTGGGCTGATCGCGGTGGAGTTGGCCGCTTTGGGGTAATGTGGCTTACACTGTGGGCGGATCCGGGGCTGTCGGGTTGGCGCGGGGGTTTATTTTGGGGTAGCACTGCGAGGGTTATGCATTGCAAAGGTATTTTGTGTATAATTATTTGAGATTTTCTACTGTTCTTCGCTGGGAGCAATGACCGAGCATTAAGAGATCCTCAAGACTGACAGACCATTCCACGGCGCGCTGGAATGGTTCCGAGATCTGGGCCGGCTCTTTGTCCTCCTCCTACTGGGTAGCATCAGCATAATAATTCTCCCACGAAAACCAGTCAAACGTCGCCTCCAACGGCCTCTTGACACCCCTATTCTGCTGCTGCTGCTCCTCCTCCTCCTCCTCCTCCTCCTCCTCCTCCTCCTCCTCCTCCTCCTCTCCCGCCGTCCCATCACCAACACCAAAGTCGATATCTCCTGGAAATCCCATGGGCTGGGGCACCCAACTGAGGAACCTGTCGATATCAACACCCTCTAGTGAGAAGAAGTCTTGCTGGTCAGGCATCACCATCCCAGGGGGGTGCTGCGAGAGGTCCGGTTGGTCCTGCGGTTGGGAGAAGTCCGTCGGGTGAGTGACATCCTCCTGCAATGCAGAACTGAACGGCATACTTCCAGTTGTTTCGGCCACGTGCCTTCTCGCCAGCCTCAAGAATATCTCGGCCGTTTTTTGCAGCTTGGCCGTCAAATCTCTGAGGAGAGTGAGCAGCGGCTGCAGAGCAATGATGTACTCCACCACCGTCTCGAGCAGTCTGAGGTCGGAAGGCACTGTTTCCGCTCTGGGGTTGGTGACGATGTGCCCGAATACCACGAAGAAGGGGGTGAACGGGTAGTAGAGGAGATGCCTTGTCTCTGTCAGCTTGAATCCCGACCCTGTTGAAAGACAAATACGCACCATATAACCCCGTTGTAAACCGGATCCCACCCCGAAATCGTCATGGGCAAAATCCCAATCGCCTGCCTCGCGCTCTCCACCCTCAACCCCCGATCCCCCGGCGAGTCCTTTGTCAGAATAATCAGCACATGCAGATACCGAAACTTGACCGTAAACTCATACAACCTCATCACCTTCTCCCTCTTCACATCAACCCCCGCTCCCGGCACCCCCCCTTGTCGTTCCCTCTCCACCCGCCTCCGAAACGTCTCATCCGTCTCCCTGAACCACTCCGCCAACCTCCCCTTCAAGACCTCCCTCTCCTCTTCTGTCCCCTCCCCCTTCCCCAAATACTCCAACACCCTCCCGCTCAGCTTGGCCAGCTCGACATTCCTCAGAAAGATATACCCCCCAAACTCGGCATCCACCCCCTCAACCCCCTTAGCCCTCCTCTGATCCGTCAAGTGCGGCCTGAAACCCCCAAACCACTCCCCCCTCGGCATCTCCACCCGCTCAACATCCACCCCCTCCCACAACCCAACCTGCGACCGTCCGAACGTCAAAGCACAACACTTTTCCATGTTGTAAATCGCCCAAAACAGGGCCAAACCCCTCTGTTTTTCCTCTTCCCCTTCCCCTTCCTCTGCCCCCCCTCCCTCCCATAGTCTTAAGGCTTGCGCCATACGGCATAGGTGACTGCAGAGCATCCAGCTTACGTTTGGGCTCGCCGCGAAATCTTCCCCGTGAAAGCTGAGCATGGTGAAGGCTGCGATGTTTACCTTGCTGGGGTGGAGGTATAAAGACGCGTTTTGGAGGGCTAGGCGGACGTTGTGACGCCAGTGGGGGACGGAGGAGGGGAAGAGGGTGGCGGTTATCGGGGAGGAGAGGAGGAAGTAGTTTGCGTAGATTATCCAGCCGGGGGCCACGGTGCCGGGGGAGAAGATGATGGTCGAGAGGAGGCGAAGGGAGGGGGGGGTGAAGAAGGGGGAGGCGAAGAGGGTTAGGGGCGTGAATTCTGTTGGCGCGTCAGTGGGGGGGTGGGGGTGGGGGGGGGAATCAGAAAAGGGGGTAAATGGGGGGGGATCATACTGGAGATGATGAGGTTGCCGGTTTCGAGGGAGGGGATGATGTACTGTCTGTTGTCGTGGGGGCCGAGGTCGAGGGACATGTCGAGGCGGAAGGAGGTGAGGGTGTTGGATAGGTCGGTGAGGTTTTGGAGGGCGAGGCTGTGGTCGTTGTGATCGTCGTGGTCGTCGTGGCTGGGGATGATGTTTCCCAAATGTGCGTTGGCTTCGTCGAGGGAGGAGATGGCGGGGGGCGTGATGGTGCATGTTGTTTTTGAGCGCGTCGATCTGTCTGTTTCGTCTGGTTGTTTTGCTGCCGGGTTTGACTCGGGCTTTGGCTCCTGGGAGCTCTTGGCCTCGGTGACAGCGAGCAGTTTTGTCACGGCGGCTGTGAGAGTCTGCAGCGTGGCCTCGATTCGGTCAAGCCGGTCAGGGAGAGAAGAGCTAACAAAGATGTTTGCTGGTTCCAGGGTTGCTGACGACGGAGCTGCCACCGGAGCTGCCACCGGGTCGGGAAACTGCCTGGCATAGTTGCATGGCCCAGGCCATGGCTTGCAAGCGGCGCATTTGGGAAGTTCGCGGGTGCATCTGTCACTGTTAGCTTCCATCTCTGTGCTTCTAGCCTAGAGAGATGCTGACTTTGTCTTCCTCTTCTTACAGCTCTCGCACTTGATGTTGTCAGTCATGCCAGCCCGAGTCCATCTCTCATCAGAGCATTTCTTACCGCATAGCGAGCAACCTTGGGCCGAGATTCCATCTCTGCACTTGAACTATCCATCAATTTTCCACCTCACACAATACTTCAGCCAACTCGAACATCGAACATGTTGTTGAAGCAGTCTTTGTTATGCCAAGACCGTTGGATGCCTTGTTGTGTAACCAAAGCGATCTGGCCAATCAGATCATCGCAAGTACATGCCGTTGAGAAACAACAGCAGTCGTCCCTTGCTTTGTTGGGGAGTTGTTGACCATGGTGATTTTCTCACAACGCTTCCTTGATAAGCTGTAAAAGTAAGCATGAGTATCACATACGACCATAGGCAGTTGAATACACGGGATCCCGTCCGCTCTCCCCTAGTTAAGCAATTGACCGCCAGACCAGTACTCAGGTGGGTGACCACTGGGGAATCCCTGGTGTTGTATGTTTTTGACTTTTTATTCCTCTTTAATATCGTTCTGTTTCCTTTAAAATGGTGTTGAAGCATGTTTTTTGGCCTTCTTATGCTCAGAAATGTTCAAAGGTGAGGTGTCGTGATTTGGCCTTTTCACTCTAAACCGCTGCGAGCGATTTATCCTGACTGAAAGTGCTCTTCTAATCGGAGGGATGTCTTTGCAACCCAAGCAACTGTATTTTGACTGACCCCACGCAGCCCCTTTTTTACCTCCTGGTCTTGGCATCAGAGACAGTCTCTGTTGATCCCTAACCACCCATATCAAGTCATCTTATATTACCATGGATGCAAGTTCGCAACGGTCATGTTTCTGGCTTGATTCTGCTCCCATTTGAATACTAAGGAGAAGAACGTAATGCTATGGTATGAGATGGAGAGGAACTACAGAACAGAGCAAAAGGATGACAATGTAAACCTTCACTCAGGCTGGTCAAAGCCCCTAGATGAGATCGACAGGATCGAGATTCGGTCGACTATTATGTAGACATCCTGCCCCACAAAATGACCAGCAAAAGTAAGTTAACCTATATTATATTATATCCCATACCTCAAAAGACAAATTAGGTCATAAGCCTTTTAACTAGAAAGGCCCATTAACTCTCTTTAAAGGCCTATCGTCTGTCTTCAAAGGCCTATTCGCTATCTTCAAAAGCATAACGACCATTCTTTGAAAGCATAATTTACAATATGATATGGGTAAACCTACTTGTGTGTGTCCACTATTTTGTGGTGAGGGTGATAGGGTCATCCCCCACGCCTTGTCGCTCGTAAACTCATCTCCTCAAGAGTGAAATGCATTGGACCTTTTTCCGCTTGGGCTGCATGATCCATCATTCTCAGCCACTGTCCTCCCTAGACGTGAACTCTATCTAACATGATTTATGCTTTCCTCCAGCAACTTCCGGATGTTTTGGAGGACCTCCTGACTGGGATCAAGGACTGGCATCTCCCGCGGGGTCTCTTCCTCTCTGTAACCATATTCGCAGAGTAATTTTATACAATCGGCTTGCTTGTGTTTGTCAAGATAGCCCATTGCACTCTCGCCGTCATTGTTCCGCACGTTGACATCCGCCCCATGCTCCACCAAAAGATGCATAACCGATGACGGGCTTACTTGCATCGCAGCCAACATGAGAGCAGTGTTGCCCTCTTGATCGCTCCGCGCGTCCAGATCCGCGCCGTTCTCGACCAAGAGACGCACAGTTGACAAGTGACCGCCATCTACAGCCCACATGAGAGCAGTGAAGCCGCCTTCATCTCTCGCATCGATGTCAGCGCCGCGGTCGAGCAGCTCCCTGATCCGGGCATCCCTTCCATGACTCGCCGCACTACGGAGCCCCGTCCTGGTCAGCCACATGTTGTCGATCTTGAGCCTCCCCTTTTCGGGCTCCGCTAGGTACTCGTGATGGAGATCAACGCAGTCCATGACTGACACGCCGTTGACCGTCTTGGCCTGGGCGTCGGCGCCGCTCTCAAGCAGCAACTTGACAAAGCAGGTTCGTTTCCTCAGTATGGAAATGTGTAATGGTGTCCAGCCGTCCGGGCCGCCATGGATCGGAGCCCCGGCCTGCAACAAGGCCTCCCCCGCCTCCACCTGCCCATGGTGCGCAGCTATGTGCAAGGCGGACCACCCCCCTCTGTCCGTCAAAGACACGACGGCGCCGTGCTTAATGAGCAGGTCAACGACGGCTCTGTTTCCTAATTTTACCGCTCTGAAAAGGGCTGTGCGTCCCTCGTTGGTCTTTGAGTTCACGTCAATGCCCATCTCCAAGAGCAACCGGACCGTCGACACGTGATGCTGTCCTGCGGTGTGGTCCAACGCTGAATAGCCGAGGGGGTCCCGTGACGTTAGAATGGAAGGGTTGTGCTCGATGAGGATGCGGACGATGGCGTCAAAACCCGCAGGCGCCGCTTCATTTAGCGCCGTCCAGCCGCCCATATCGCGGATCAGACTGTTTGCCCCAAGTTGGAGAAGGCGCTCTACGACGGTTGTTTGCCCTTCTCTTGCTGCATCGATCAAGGCGGTACGGCCGTTGGGTGAGTCGGTAACGTCTATCGTGGCACCTCGCTCGGCCAGCAGCTTCACAACTTTCTCGTATCCATTGAACGCTGCTGCGTGCAGCGCCGTGTGATGCTCTCCGCCTCGAGCATCAACATCCGCTCCGTGGTCAATAAGCAGCGTCGCGCACTCTTCATGGCCGTAGCAGCATGCCCCTTGCAGTGCGTAGCCGTAATCACCCGCATACTGGTTTACCTGGGCTCCTTTAGCAAGCAACACTTTGATGACATCCCGATGTCCTTTGCAGGCTGCTGCCTGCAGAGCTGTCCCGTACCGGCCGCCTACAGCATCAACATCTAGCCCTTGGGCGAGTAGCTGTCTGACTGAATCAGCCAGGCCGGCGTGGGCAGCGTAGTACAGAGCCGATGGTAGCGACTCGACGGACCGGGAGATATCGGGATTGTGAATCCACGGCGTGTCTGGATCAAAATACCTGATGTACTTTTGAGGGGTGGTGAGAAGCTCCACGCAAAGACAGTTTAGGTTGATGTGCACATCATTTTCCCCCAAAAGCTGTTGGGAGATGGTGGGAGACAGACCAAAGACTCTCAGGACCTGAGTGATAAGTTCAATGACCAACAGCGACATAATTATCAGCGTGCCAGATGACTGATCAGTCGCAGCGGCGGTGGTTGCAGCGGTGGTTGTAACATGGACATGATAGGACCAGAACTGCGCAGCATATCGGGCAAGCGGGTAGGTCTTTGGGGAATTCTCTGGGGTGCCGATTTGCTGGAGGTAGACAATACACGCTTCCGCTATGCTCTGGTGTGCTGATAGTTCCGTTATATGGAAAATCTTCGCCGGCGAACCGACAATCTTGCTCCCTATAAGGTAGTCTCGGACGGACAAGTGGGCTAGCCGCAGCTCTTTGTGCGGCTCGCCTTTTGACTTGACCAGCACCACCGAGACCAGATTGCTATGCTTGTGAATGAATCTCGTTGCATTTACTAACCGTCGTCGGGGATCGTAGTGCGGCCGCGAATTTGTCCCTTGGTCAATCGCAAACACTTCGGCCATTTCGTCGAGCTTCAGGGGCCGCTTTGAGTAACACAACCATTGCAAAATATGGCGAAACCCTTGACTCCTCCTCTCTTCGACTGTCAAGAGCTCCCTTTCGTAGATCTCTTCGAGCGTGGCGGGTAAGGACTTGAGAGCTTCATCTAGTTCTTGAATGGTATGACACCCCCACAGGACCTGAAGTTGGCAAGCAACCCATCTGAAGCTGAGGCAGGCAACAATGATCAGCTATGAAAGATACTTTTTTTTTGTTTTTTTTTTTTGGCTGGCAGCAAACTCACTTTCCGTGCGATGCTTCAATAAGGGATTCCGCAATCTTGTCTCTTTCGGGCGAATTCCAATCGCTGAACATCCCATTTTCATCTGACAGTGTTGCCAGGACATGATGTTTGACGTCCTCGCCGACACCGCTTTCAATAGATATGGTGCGGCTATCCCAGTCGCGTTTCGGAATCTCCACACCGAGCTCGGTTCGACTCGTAAGCAGAACACGGAGTTGAGGCAGCTTCCATTGGCCGACCATGATGTTGAGGAGTTTGAGAAACTCCACCTTCTCTTTGCTTTCGTCTACGGCATCGATAACAAGATAACACGGCGAGAAAAGCTCGATGATGTTACGGAGTGTTTGGCAGAGCTCTTCCACCGTCGGCTGCGTTGTTCCATTCCGGTGTCGCTTGTATAGTGTTTTGAGGGGTTGTGTTACCGAACGATTTTGCATTTGCGCCGATAGTTGCACAATGAGCGACCGGACGAGTGTGTGGTGATTTTGAGATGTCGAGGCGTCTGTAAAGTCAAAGTAAAAGTAGGCGATCCCTGAAGTCGCCTGATGCTGGCAGTGATCAATGAGGTGGTTGATTATCGTGGAGCTGGAGAGTTGTCAGTGGCCATGGTTACACACTTACTGCCAGGAAATTATTAGCTACATGCCAGAGAACAGTCTTCCCACACCCCGCTGAAAGAAAATCCTAGGTCAGCTGGCCCCCGTTTAATTTGCATATAGACCGCTCCTCCTGTCGGTAACTTCTTCACTTACCTCTGCCTTGTATCCAGAGCACGGAGCGTAACGATTCCTTCCAGGTCCAAAATTCGTTTTCGTTGTTATCGACGAACCAGGCACCCGTGTCGTCCTTGCGTTTGGACGAGGCAATAAATTGTCTCTGGGACGGATTAGGCGGATCAAGCCAACGCAGTATCTCCTTGGAATCCTCTTTCTCGTAGAATTGGTTCATTGTATCCAAAATCCTATTGTTCTGGCGTCTGTTCCATATTAGCGTGGCTGAGGAGCATCACAGAACTGAGGTGACGCACATCAAAATGGAGGTTGCAGCTTGGTGAAGAATCTCGTTGGCTTTCGATACATTATCGCGCAAGTCCTTCAAGGTTTTTTCCTTGAACGGATACAGTGTCCGCTTAAATCTGGTGAATAACTTGATGTTGTCCACCGGTGGATTGCGCCCGTTATCGGAACCGGTGACATGCTTGAGCTCCTCCTCGAGCGCCGTGATCCTATCACGACAAGCCTTAACTGGCCCCTCGGCCGGGGCCTCCACCTCTAGCCTACTGCCAGCATCTTTGATAGCAGCGTCAAGGTTCTATTATACTAGTTAGCGAGAAAGCTCTGTGTCGCCCAGAGTAAGTACCTACCTGAAGAATTCGGGTGAGATTGTCGACCTCCTCACAAAGGAATTGGATATCCTTCTCAGCACTTTTGTAGGTCTTGTAATATTCCGTTAGACCTTTGCAGACTGCCAAGCCCGCTGTTACCAAGCCGGCAAGACTGGCAGCAAGACCGATGGTCTCAGCCATTGGGGTCAAGGCAGAGTAAAGTTACCTACTTGCGGGAAGGGGAAGTTCGATGGTCGGGCTGAGAACACGGCTCAGGTAGGAAGGCGGCGATGCGGGGGACTCTTGGCCCATCAAGGGCAGCAGCGGGACACCCTCACCACAAAATAATTCGGACTCAAAAGCAGGTCAACCCAACATTATATTGTAAATCATACCTCGAACTTGCTTGTTGTGGGCCAGTTATTCGGGGGCAGTGCATTGGGAGGGGAGATCGCCTGTGCGTTTTTCAGGCACAAATATACCCACATAAAAGTCTGGATTTTGTGTGGGATTTATGCCATTTATTGTGATGAAATTCGGAGACAGAGGTTGAGAGTAAAGGTTCGAGGACAGCGCAAGTAATGATAATTCTAGCTAGGTACATATGAGAAATTTAGACCTTGTAGAAACCCACGCCCTTGCTCCAGGTCCCGTTCGCAAACCATGTCCCCGCCTCGGTCCAATCCAATGTATTCCCTCCTTCCCCGACAAAAGAGAATCTGAAGTATTCATCAGCCTTTCTGAACCTTGGCCAAGAAAACACCATATCCTCCAGCTTTGTCTCTGTAAACCACCCTCTAAATCGCTCCACATCATTCACCAGCACACTGATGCCCTCAATCTTCTCTCTCAGTCTTGCAACATCGTCCAACGCCGACCACTTGAAGTGGATCGTCTCCTGCTTCACTCCCATCTCCAACGTCTCAATGAACGGTGCCACCACCTCCGGCACCAAACTCCCATACTGCCCATCCCCCCTGATGGAATCATATGTCTGCAGCACCGAATCGAAGCCCCATCTTGCTACCCCGTTGATAAACAACCCAACCAACAGCCCCTGAAACAGCAAGCTCGGCCTCGTCTGCATCGCCGTCCCCGGTAGTAGGAGCAAAGCAAGAACATAATGGTGAAGCCTCAGCTCCAACCCCGGCATCACCACCAAAGTCGCAATCACCGCTATCGCCCCCGCATAAAACGCCAAAAACTTCGGCAACCTCCCCTCTTGCCAAAAGTGCCACGCCTGCAACGTCCCCAGGGCAATCAGCACCCCCACAACAACCACCAGTGCCACCAACGCCCCAGGCTGCTGCCTCAGATCATGTCCCTCCAGCCTCGAAATCGGAATCCACGCCTCGAAAGTATTATTCGTCAATCCCCCCAACCACAAGCCTCCCATCCACAGCAACGTCTTCTCCCAATTCGCCCCCTCATCCACGCCCTCCAACGTTCTCCTCCCTATCGCCCAGTACACAACCACCATAACAAACACCGCCGGCAACAACCTCCCAACCATAATCCCGACCAACTCCTGTACCAACCTCCCGCTCATCACCTCAATATCAGGCGGATCACTCACCAAACCAACATGTAGAAAGACCCCCGTAAACCCCCCGAAGAACATCACCTTCCCACTCCGTGTCCCCGCCCCAAGCAACAAACTCAGCCCAACACTCACAATCAACTGGCCCCACCTCGCATCCCCCCTCCCACACCCCTCCACTTTCTCAACCTCATAACTCATAGGAAAATAACTCCCAAACTGTACACTCTCCACCCCATTCTGGGTGCTATTCTCAAACCGGTAATACTCCCCCTTCAACTTCACCCTCCCACACCCCCCCTTCTTATCTGTCACCACCCCGGCATGAACCCCAGCCTGACAAACAAACGAATCACCCCTATAAACCCCCTCCCCTCCCCCAATGACATAAGCCCGGTAGTTGATCTGCTGATTCCCCACCCACCGTGGATTGAGCAGCTTCACGCCCGCACAATCCGCCGGACACCGAAAAGCCACACTCGTATTCCCAAACGGTTCACACAGTCGCCCGTCCAACCCACACTCTGCATTCCCCCCCCAAAGCGAGCTCACACAACCGAGATGCTTCACTTCTTGCCCATCGACCACCACCTTTCCTTTGGTCAACACCACCGGCACGACAACAGTCAACATCCACACGATCCCAAACCCCACTAACAACATCCCCTTTTGCCACTTCTGGGGGAAGAGACAGTCAAGAACATCCACCAACCCCGCCTGAAGTCTCGGCAGCAGCCACGCCCTCGGTTCAATCCTCTGCGTTTTAGAAGGCGCAGGACCACCCCAAAGCCAGTCGCAATACCGGTGTCTTTTCCTCCCTTGCTGCCGCGACTTTGACTTCCTGAAGGGTCGGTTCTCGACATCAGAATCCGGGCTCGTCAGCTCGTCTAGTTCCAACCCGTCATCCTCGCTGTCAGAGTGTAAAAGTTGAGCCTCTTCGTTGCTGTTGTCATCATCATCGTCCAGATGCCGAACCTCAACACCGGATTTGCCCCCCTTTCTCAGCCCATCGCTCGAACTGCTCGACCCACTACCGATCCTCCCATTGTCGTTGTTGCTGAAAACAACGTCGCCGTCTTCGTCAGCCGCCACCCCAGTGTTGCGGGTGAGGGTGTTGCCGCTCATTTTCACCCACTAATAAAGGCTGCCGTTTGTCAAACTAACGTTGCGCAAACCAAAAAGTCATAACGGTGCTCCCAAAAAAAAAAAAAAAAAGGTGATGGATGACAAGACAAGCTGAAAAAAAAACAAAACAAAATTGAATCACAAATTCCAAGCAGCAGCTGGAGGTGGGTGGTGGCCAGGCCCCTTCCCCAGAGGTTCAGCTCGCTCACCCACCCCCTGATTGAGACTGAGCAAATCGGACCATACCCAACCCAACCAAACTAGGTGAGTGACATGACTAAGCCAAACAGGGGTGTGTAAGTCAAACACCACCATCCCCAGCTCACATCAAACTCAACTCAATATTCTTTGCTCTCATATCTGTGAACCAAAAGAATGTCCTTCCCAAATCCATATCTTACAATTCATTCAAGTAGAGTTAGTTTACTTTCATATAATTACATGTCATCACATCCACAGGCCTCCTTTTCCACCCCTCCCAGAAACCTCAAAATGACCCCGCCCCCCACCCCAATCCAATCATAACCTCATCATTTAACTCGAGACTCTCAAATCTTTTAAGCCTCAACAAACCCCCTCACATTCTCCAACCAAGCCAAATACTCCTTCTGCTCCTTCATATCCATGTAATCCGGCACAAACAGCGCCAGCGCAGGCGTGATGCCCCTCTCCTCCAGATACCTCTCCAGCAAGATCTGAAGGTCCTCATCCAGGCTCCCAAACGCAGGGCCAGGGTAGGCATCCTGCGCAGCATGCACCGCATCAGGGCTGCTGCTGTGTGCAAGCTTGGCGTCCTTGTAATAGTAGACATTCTCAACAACAACGGTGCCATCCTGAGCAATCGCCTCAACATTGAGCGCGCCCTTGCCGGGCTTCTCAACGACAATGTTCAGCCGGCAGGGCATGGCATCAGTATCAGCACCACCCTCCATATCCTCCTCCTCCGCCTCCTCAGCCAAATCAGCAGCACCAGACTTGCCGTTCTCGCGGGAGTCGTTCATCTCCTCAAACTCTTCATCAGCGAGGGCGTCGTCCTCAAAGTTTTGCTCTTGGAACGAGGAGAGGTCGGCGATGGAGAAGGAGACGGTGATCCTTTTAGCAAAACTCAGTAATTAGCTTTGGCGCTCACAAGTTTTGATAGTAAAGAGAGGCATACTTTTCATTCCCAAAGTTCCTCGTCAAAAACACATCCTGCTGACCGGGCACGTCCTTGAGCTCAAACTGGCCATTCTCCAAGAAATCCTTGATGCTCGCCGGCAGCGTCTCGCCCTCCTTGACAGAAGTCTCAAACTCGAGCTCCGAGCTCAGCTTGGCGGCGAGCTCCTCGTCCACCTCGCCGGCGGGCGCCCGTCTCAAGGCGGATGTGGAAAAGGCGGCCGAAGCCTTTTGTGTGATGGCGAAAGAGGGGCGTGCAGCGGTGGCGGCAGCGGTTCTGACGACGGCGGGTCTGAGGGTGGAGGGGCGAGCGAGGACTCTAGGGGCCGCGCGGGCGATGGCACGGAGGGACATCATTTTGTTGGAAGGTTTTGGGGGGTGAGAAGAAAAAAACAAAGGCGAGGTTGTCGATGGGAAGGGGAAAAAAAGTCGAGGTGGGATGGGTGGGAAAATTTAGGTTTACACGGGTAGGATAAGGAATTGGATAAGCTCAAGCTCTTCTCGAGTTCTCAGAAGCTGGGGAGGGAGCTGGCAGCGCTGGGTGGCCCGTGCTTTTTCGAAGTGGGATGGCACATGGATGGCGAGTTCTGGAGGGCCAAAAAAAAAAACAGAAAAGTCAAAGGGAGCATGGACCCAGGCTGGGATCCGTTGTCCAATCAGGGAAGTTATACGTCATTGATAAGAGATAAGGTGGGACCGAGAACATGCTTGAGCAAGCAATTGGAGCTCAGAATATTGGAAAGGTTCTGTCAATTTCTAGAGAATCAAAAAAAATTCAATACCTAAACATCAAAACGCCGTTGCTTATAATCTCCCCTTTGGTATCCCGTTTGTGTAATCCATCAACGCCTTTGCCTATCCCTGTCCAGGCCAGCTGGATATTTTATCTTGCCTCCTTCTTCTCAGGTCTCTCCGAGCCAGCCTGGTGGAAACACCACAAAGAAAAACAACAACAACAACAACAACAACAACAACAACAACAACAAAAAAAAACCAAAAAAAAAACCAGCATTTATGATATGAAAGAAAATCAGCTCCATGCCCTCGGCCTCTGACCGGCACTGCTACTAGTAGGCACCACACTCCCTCTCCTCCTGTGCCCGCTCCCGCTCCCATATCTCCCCTGATAGCCATACTGCATCTGCTGCTGCAACTGGGCATACCCCGGCGGCGGACTGGGAATCACACTCTCCTTGCACTGCCAGCACCAATGCCTCGTCGCATCCCTCTCGCTCAGCACCCCTTCCAAACACGCCCCAAAGATGCCGTTCGCTTTTTGGGCGACCGGGCAGAGCTTTTCCGAGATAAGGACTGTATCCTCGCAGCGGCAGGACCCGCAGACCCGGACGTGGGTTGTGTAAGTGCACATCTCCGCTTTCTAGTCTAGGGTGTGTGAGTTAGTGATACTACCAAGGGAGGGCATCAAAAGAGACGACGGGCATACCTTGAACAAGAGAGATACCGGCTTGGCTCGGTGATGATAGGATATAACAAGGATGATTTCTTGACAAGGTAAATCAGGTAAGGTAGGTATCCAGCCCGCCAGCGTAAAACGTGTCCCCGTCCCTGAGTCTCGTGATACAGAACAGAGCGACTGTAAGACGAAGATCGGCTGCTCACTCGCCGATGATGAGCAGCAAAGAGTCGATGACCGAACTGATCGACAACAACCCGATATGAAATGGTGAATATCCGTCTATGGTGTACCGTCAAATCCTCCCCCGCCCCCCAACGTGGGTATGGGTAGGTAAGTAAGGTAGGTAGGTATCTTTAAAAGGTGAAAAAAGTAAAGTAGATCGGTTCTATGATCTGACTGAGTACCAATCGTGAAGCCGGTTATGATGTAGCCTAAGTAAAACGTAAGGATAACAAAACACAAAACAGCCATCCATCCCAAACCCTACGTCGATCACCCCCCACCCCCCTCTTTATATACCCCTTCCCCTCCCTCCCCTTTTACAATGGTGTATATAAATAACCTCCATCACCACCAGGAGGTACCTCAAACCCAAGCAACGCAACCACCCATCATCCGATCCCCATCCCAGCAGCATTGTGTACAACAGCTACACCACCTTCCTCCCGGCGGAAAATCCTTCCATCATCCCATCCTCCCCCCAATCCCGAAGATCGAAGGGTACCCCTCCCATGTTCCCCCTTCCCCCTCATCACCACCACCTAGGTCTCGCCTTGAGGGGCGAACATCCACGGGTACCCGCACCCTAGCCTCATCCTTGTCATCTCTCACACCTGCACCTCTTGTATCATGATCAAATCTCCACCAAACAGCACCGCCCTTTCAATCTATCTCTCATCAACCCTGTGTGCTGTTCGAGAAAGAAAAAAACTGCTATTACACAAAATCGGCCAAAGAATGCAGGGTAAACAACCAAGGTAGGTAGGTGGCATACCCGGCGTAATGTTCCAATCATGCCCAGACGATACATCCTTCTGTGGCAGCAGAGAGAGAAGATGTGTAATCCCCCAAGGGGGTCGGAAGTAATAGATCATCACTATCGTTCGGGAATCGGGTTCAAGCAAAAAAAGGGTAATGGCATATGCCGCTAGATCCTACAAAAAAAAGCAAAGAGAGAGAAAGAGGAAGAGAGAGAGAGAGACAAGGATAGAACACAAGGAGGTTACCCATTCTTCCATGTGATACACACATATCTTCTCAAAAACATCATCACATCACTCCGCAGCGGAGAGAAAAAGAAGAAGAAACAAGACACTTCCACTGCACTTTAGTCATAAGACAAACATCTTCCCTCAGTCCCGAGGTGAGGCAGCAGCAGCAGGCAGTCAAAGACAAGCGTAAAAACAAGAAAGCCAAAAAGTTCTTGCCCCAATACCCGGTTGGTCTCATATTCATGACTTCGATTAATAATTCTGCTACTTCCCCCCTCTCCTACCAAAAGCTCTCCCGTTGGGTCCCGGCGGCAAGCAGCCGCGCGTGTGTCACCCTCGCTACCCCCGCTCCCACATCCAATTGCCGTTCCGGAAACCAGAGCAGGAGACGGCCCACAAGTCGTTCGTCTTGTGCCCCCACCGCAGGGGAGAACACCACCATACCGGGCAGTTTCGTCGTGCTGACGGTCATAGAAAAATGGTGGGTTGTACCGCAGCAGCTAACCATTTGGCAGGCAGACACCCACTTCTTCCCCTCCCGGAGCGACGGAGACGGGTAAGATCTGCTACCCGCGAGTGCTTCACAAAACCACTTTACACAAGGCCGGCCCCAGCTGTTCGAGCGGTAGGCTACAGATTCTTTGCACATTGGCCGCGTTTCGAAAGCATGCCATGCAGGGCGTTGTTGGCATGGCGTGGCGTGGCTTACTCCAACGTGCCTTTCGTGCGTTGCAGCTTGCTTGCGTGCGTGCGTGCGTGCGTCTGCGTGGTGGCTTTGAAGTGCGGAGTAAATGGGCAGGCCATGTTTCGTTTCCGGAACATGGAAGCTCTGGCGGGTTGCATATTCAAGATAGGACAGGACCGGGAAGTTTTCTCGAGATAGATCGAGGACGAATTGTTGGCTGGGGACTGCTGGGAAGGAGATGGCGAGAGACAACAGAGACAGACACAGCATATCTGAACCACACTATCCGCCGTCGCCGATTTGGTCATAATCCGACGAGAGTGTGCCTTCGGAGTTGTCTTAGACAACATTCTCCGAACCGACACGAAAGGATGGAGCAAGTGCAGCCGGTCCGGGTGGTTGAAGGCTGTGTCATGGATGCGGCCTATGTGGTCGAGGTGGGCCAAGATGACAAACTTACTCTCTGCCGCACGGCATGCTTCATAGACCTTGGGGAGGGAAGCTTGACGGTTTAGTCGTGCCATCGGCGGAGATTTTGACCCAGGTCACGTTTGTGAGGAAGGCCCAGTTGGACCCGTCCCAGCGCTCAAGCATCTCGAGGTTCTTCTCCGAAGAGAGATCGGGCAGGTCTGTGGAACAGGTCAGCTCGGCTCATTTGAGTCAAAAAGTCAGGCGGTCATGGTAATAAGGTTCGGCTTACAGAAACCATTCTTGTGCTCCGTCTCAAGAGCCTCAATGGCCATCTTCAGCAGATCCTCTCTTGTGCTGGGTGGGCGTCCGGCACGGCGTGTCTTTTTGATCTCCTCATATTCCTCGTTGTGTTGCCCAACAAACTCTAGGATCTTGGCTTGGACGGCAGCTTCATCAAGAGGCTTCAGCTCATTCTCGCGTGCGGCCTCCAAGAAGAAGCGAGTACGGCGAATCAGAGGCTTGTCTTGCTTCTTGCGGGCAGCAGCAAGAGCCTTCAGACGGTCATCACGAATGACGGCTGTGTGAAGTCGCTTGGCGTTTCTGCTGTTGGCGTGAAGAGCCTCAATCTTGCCGCCCTTCTTCTTCGCGATGCGCTTTCTCTCCTTTTCAAATGTCTTGGCCATTTTGAATGATTGCTGTGTGAGGCGTTGCTGTGTGAGGCGTTGCTGTGCGATTGTGTTTACTGCTGTCGTTGAGAGGTGGAAGTGTCAGGGAATTTTTTGATGGGGCGGAATAGATATTGGTGGGGCTGTCCGCGATAAGGTTTAAGTGGCTGCAGGACCCCTAACCCTGGTCGTGGATGCTGGAGGGTCGCATTGCTCCTTGATGTGGGAAGAGGGGGCGCAAAGTCAAAAAAGCTATCCGTATTGAGAGCAACATCACAGAGTAAACATTGGATTGTTGCTCCTCAGACGAGAGCACACAATGGACCACCCCAACTATTGTCTGCCAGTGAATAATATTCTCCTGCGATGCCCGTGAATAGCCAATGCCAGTGACGCAATTGGACAGACCCCCAGGCTTCCAGAAGGCCCTACAGACCCCGCATTAAAGTGACAGGCGTGTGGACCGTCGCGGGGAGCAACGTCCCTGCTCAACCGACGCGTCGCGCCTTCCCCCGTTAATAGTTTAATTTGCAGCGCCAGCGAGGTCCTGGGAAGGAGCATCCCATTGATCAGCCAGTACCAGAGCATTGTTGGAAAGCCAGCGACTGTTGTTTGGCTTCTCCAAAGGCTCCGTTTTCTATTCAGCATCGCCTTTTGGTATTGTTCAACTTCAGCAATAGGGCTACAGCACGCGTCACCGCCCTCGGCAACCCACGGGTTTTTCTGCTTTTTCTGCTGCACCTGCTGCAACTGAACGAGGAAGCGCGTCTTTCTTGATCTCGACTCTTTTTATCACCACCAACAGTCTCGACTCGAGATCAACCCTTCAACAGCAATTCTTCATGGACAAGAGATTGTAAAACAACCCACCTGTTTCCTTCACATCACGGAAACAATCTCGACATCTTCGGCCACTGTTCTCAAACCGCCTCGGCCGATCTCTCCACCATGGGTATCCAAGGCCTTTTCCCGCTCCTCAAGTCCATCCACCGCACCACCGAGCTCAAGAAGTATGCCGGCGAGACCTTTGGTGTCGATGGCTACGGCTGGCTCCATCGCGGTGCCATTGCCTGTGCCATTGAACTAGCCCAGGGCAAGCCCACTCGCAAGTAAGTCGTTCATTTTTCCGTTCACTGCCTGCCAGGATCGCTAACATTGTCATGAGATATGTCGACTTCGCCATGCACCGAGTCAGGATGTTCAAGTATTATGGTGTCACTCCCTATTTGGTCTTTGACGGCGACTTTCTTCCCAGCAAGGCCAAGACTGAGTCTTCGCGTGAGCAGCGTCGTGAGCAGAGTCTGAAGACTGGCCTCGAGCTCTTGAAAGCCGGCAAACCCTCGAAAGCCCACCTCGAGCTTCAAAAGGCCATCGACGTCACCCCGGAAATGGCTCGTCATCTCATCGAAGAACTCAAGAAAGCCGGTGTCCCGTACCTTGTCGCCCCCTACGAAGCTGATGCCCAGCTCGTCTACCTGGAGCGTGAGGGTGTCATCAGCGGCATTGTCTCTGAGGATTCGGATATGCTGGTGTTTGGTGCGCAGCGCCTGTTGACCAAGATGGATCAGCACGGTCAGTGTGTTGAGATTCGGAGAAAAGACTTTTGTTTGGTCCGCGAGATCTCCTTGACCGGTTGGACGGATGCCGAGTTCCGGCACATGGCCATTCTCAGCGGCTGTGACTATCTGGGCGCTGTTAACAACATCGGCCTGAAGACAGCTTACCGACTGATCCGCAAGCACAAGACACCTGAGCGCATCATTCAGATGCTCAAGTTCGAGGGCAAGCACAGGGTTCCCGAGAACTACTTGGAAGAGTTCAAGCAGGCCGAACTCACCTTTTTGCATCAGAGAGTCTTTTGCCCCAAGAAGAAGGACATCGTGTTCTTCACCGAGCCCGGACCCGCTCTCAAGGTCGATGAGATGCCCTTCATCGGTGCTCCGGTCGAGACTGAATTGGCCCGGGCCATTGCCGCCGGAGACGTCAATCCCATCACCAAGAAGCGGATCGTCCTCCCGTCGTCCTCTCGCACCTCGCCGCCGTCCCCTGGTAAGAGAAGGATCAGTCAGACCATGGCTCCGGTCACTGTGCCGACGAGAAATCCTGGCAAGCCGCCCGGCAAACCAATCAACGAGTACTTTGCGAAGCACAAGCGGATTCCCTTGGGCGAGATGGACGCCAATTGTTTCACCAACAACAGCCAGAACAATTCGCCCAGCAACTCCCCTCGTCCGATCGTCTTTCCTCTTCCGCGCCCATACATTGCGGGCGTGGAGGAGGCGACCCGCCCATCTCGCCGGTATGTCAATCTCGAGGCTGCCCTGGGCGGAGAACGCCGTCGGAGAAGCGAGCCTGTCTCGAACCTCCTGGCGACGTACGAGACCTCATCGAACCGCCGCAGGACCACTGGCCCGGTTGTCGACATCTTTCAGGACGGCACCCCGTCGACATCGACTACGAGGCCCCCCAAGAAAGCGCGCTTGTGTGATGACGACCTTCCCACTTTGACAGACAACAACACCCCTGTGAAGAGCAAGTTTTTCACATCTACCGAGGGAGCCGACTATATTCGGTCGGACGATTCGGTCGAGGAGGCTTTCCGCAGCATCTGCAACCAAGAGATTGTGACCGGCACCCGCATCGTTCACGGCTTGCCTTCGCCCGCGCCCAGCATGCTTTCCGCATCCATGGACACGCCTTCTAGCATCGTGGGTACGCCTTCCACTGTCATGAGCACACCCTCTAGTTCCATGAGCAAGCCCTCGGGTCTCATGAACCGGTCTTGCAACATGATGAACACACCTTCCAGCTCGAAGAGCAGCACATCCAGCAGCTCTCAGACCCCTATTTTGACGCCTCTCCAGCGTTTGGGTTTCCAGGCTTTGCAACGCGGGAAGCCCCGGGTCGTCTCTTCTTCGGTCCTCCAACCCACCAGGCTCTCGACGTATTCCAAGAGATCGAGCTCGCTTTCGGTCAACCCCGCCTCGATTCCTCTGCCTCGTGCTGATTTGGCCGAGATTGAGGCCCTGAGCCAGCCTGTTGGCAGCGAAGATTTGATTTTGCCCTCTAGTGATGGGGAGCTCGAGCAGGATGAGGAGGAGGGTACCAAGTATTCCAATGTTTCCAACAGCGGTTTGGATTTGTCGCGGTTCAAGTACACCTGAACTGTACGAGTTATGAAGCTATCTGTGCACAGCGCTGGCGTTTGGGGGTTTGACTCTCCCAGTTTTTATTTTGAAGGGGGGGGGGGGGGTGGGTTTTGGGTCGGGACAAGAAAGTAAGGCTAGGGTTGTCATGACATCGGAACGAAACATGGCCAGGCGTCAAAGGGCACGAAGTAAAGTATTTTTTAAACAAGGTTAAAGACTATGGGTAAAAGGGCGTTTGTAGTCAGCATCAGCATACACATGTATGGCGTTCATATAGTTTTAGTTTTTGTTTTTTTCATGCGGTTTGGTCTTAGAGAGGCAGCAGGGGAGTGTGGTCAAAGTGTAAGAGATAGGTGAATATCAAAGAAAACATCCAAAAATTATTCTTCAGTCCCATTGTGACTTGTGAGATGGAAGAGTTGAGGCGTGAGATGAGGCTCTCACCCAATGCCAAGACGCCAATATTCACCGCCCGGCAGAACATCTACACGAAATGTGGGGGAAGGGACGGGAGCTCCACATTGACCCAAAAAAATCAACGGCGATAAAAATCTCCCCAGACTGCCCACTTCACCCATTTTTCCCACGAGCCGCCTTGCAACAACGACTGCCCCCCCCCCCCCAGACAATTCATCTGCTGGGATTTCCTGACCCGACTCTCCCCGCGCTATCGCCACTGTCACTGTCAGTAAATCAACAGCGCAAAAAGATGGCGGACGAAGAATTGCAGGTACGCAAATCACCTACCACGGACCAGTTGGGGCCAAGCCCGCGAATCTATCTCTAACCCCCATCTCTTTCTCTCTCTAGGAGCGTCTCCGCGGCAACTCCCAGGCCTTCAACAGCTTGTTGTCGCTCATCCCCGGAACACTGTACTATGGGGAGGATACCAGTGTACGTGGCCTCCCTTTCTTGTTTTGATCTATTTCCTGCCCTGAGCCGAGCTGACCTGCGTCTTCTCCCGCGCAACAGGATCAGTGGAAGAAGAAGAAGCAGACCAAGGAGGAAGCCCGGGCCGCCAAGCGCAACAAGTTGGACCCCGACAGTGAACGTCACCGGAACGCCAAGGATCTCATGGAGGAGAAGGCGCGCAACAAGCGCAAGCTGAAGGAGCTCGAGGATGAGGACGATAGCCACAACTCCAACGACGAGGACGACGACTTTGAGATTGAGGGTATCGAGAAAGAGAAGCCGCTCGAGGGGTTGAAGAGAAAGGATACACCCGCCGCCAAGGAGGAAGAGGAGGAGTCGCCTGTCAAGAAGCAAAAGGTCGTCGCCGAGGAGCCAGCCGTCGGGCAAACCCCTAGCAAAGATGCGGCCACGAAGGAATCCAAGAAGTCTGCGAAGAAGCAAAAGAAGGAGGAGGCCAAGAGGTTAAAGATGGAAGCGGCTGCGCCAAGCAAGGCTGCTACCAAGAGGGATGAGGAGCCCGCTGTTCGGGAATCTACCGAAGCCCCCGACAGCGATGGCGAGGATGACGAAATGGTTCCTATTGATGTTTCTGGTCTGGTCACAAAGGAGGACGACAACACGTCAGAAACCACGAGAGATACCCCGGCGTCCGACGCCGCCAGAACCGACTCTTTAGCCGCTAGCAGCACGACTTCCATCTCCTCGGCCGTTCCACCGTCCGAAAGGCCAAAGGGTCTCAAAACTCCAGCTAACCCGGAAAACATTGCGAAACTTAAGGAGAAGCTCAACGCCAAGCTCCTCAGCCTGAAGATCGCGCGCAAGGCGGCCGACACGGAAGGAAATGCGATCAAGAACAAGGAAGACCTCCTCGAAGCGCGGAGAAAACTCGCGCTCAAGCGTAAGGAGCGCAAGAACGAGATGCGCAAGCAGGCCAAGATTGAGGAGGAAAAGAAGAGGGAAGCTGCCCTCGCCACAGCCCGGGACTCGCCCGCGTTGTCCTCGTTCCTCCAAGAAGACGACAATGTCGAGACAAACTTTGCCTTTGGCCGCCTTCGCTTCTCGGACGGCACTCAGCTCTCTCACGACGCCGCCTACGAAAAGACACCCGGCTCCGCCAAGAAGAAGGGCCCCTCGGACCCGAAGACTGCGCTTTTGAAGCTGGAGAACCAGAAGAAGAGGATCGCCAACTTGCCGGAGGAGAAGCAGAAGCAGGTGATTGAGCAGGAGGCTTGGCTGGCGGCGAGGAAGAGGGCGGAGGGGGAGAAGGTGATTGACAATGAGGCGCTGCTCAAGAAGGCGATCAAGCGGAAGGAGAAGGGAAAGAAGAAGAGCGAGAAGGAGTGGAAGGAGAGGAAGGAGGGGGTGCAGAAGAGCATTTATGACAGGCAGAAGAAGAGGGAGGAGAATTTGCAGAAGAGGAAGGATGAGAAGATGGCGAATAGGAGGGGAAAGGGGAAGGGGAAGAAGGGGAAGGGGGTGCAGACTAAGAAGAAGGGGGGGAGGCCGGGGTTTGAGGGGAAGTAGGAGGGGTTCTGCAGGGCTGGGCGATGTTGGGGTGCAGTAGCAGGGATCAAAACAAGCGGGTTTGTGTGTTTTTTCTTGGGGGAAATTCGGCTGTTTTTGTTTTTGGTTTGGGCGTCTGGGGGTTGCTTATGTATATATGCTCTTTTTGGTTCTTCTCTGTCCTGTTCCGCTGTTTGGGCTTTTTTACTTGCATTGTTTGAGTGGCATCAAACATGGGTATAGGTGAAGGGGAAGGAGGTGAAAAGTGGAAAGGGGAGCGAGAAAAACACACTTGTCCGGTCGGCTGGCGTTGTTGATATATATCCTCGGAAACAGGCGTGTAGGCAGGCAAAAAGGAAAAGAATGATATAACTCTCCTTTGGAATTCCCCAGTCATTGTCCAGGTCAAGTCTTTTTTTAAAAAAAAAAAAACTAAAACAAACGTTAATTATAAAGAAACTAAACAGACAGACAGACCATACATATCATGACAACCTTTGGAACAAAACAAACAAACATGAAAAACTCCAATTTTTGCTCCCTACCAAAGCCAACTACAACCTACCAACCTACCTTACCTACCTACCAGCCTCCACCCAGCCAGACCAGTTTCATCTCCCGTCTTGTTTTTCCAGCGCATTGCAAACAACAAGCCAGAAAAAAAAAACAGCAGCATTGAATAGCATAAAAAAACATACAAAAACCTAAACTTTAGAGTAAAGAAGAAAAAAAATAAAAAGGTGGTATAGCCCACGGCAGCAGTCCAAACCAAACAAACAGAATTCTAAAATAAATAAAATAAAAAAGCGCTTTCCTGCCTGCCTGCCCCTTTTCTGCTTGTTGTCCGTCTGTCTGCCACCTACCGTCCCACCACCCCTTACATTACGTATCGTTTGACATGGTAATTTGTCCCCCTCCACCCCCCCCCTTCCCCAGCTGAACATCTCCATCCCCCATTCAGACCCAATGTTTTTGTAGCCTGTCCCCCCTTGCTTCCCTGCCCGTTTCCAGATTCCAGATTTCTACCCAGCCCCAGCGGTCCAGCTTTGGTAACCGTCATCGTCGACCGCATCGCTGCGTGTTGAAATTCCACATGTCGAATGCTGGAGGCTGTTGTCGTTGTTCCCACAGCCCAAGCCTCCCACCAAACCAACAAACTAAAGCAGCGAATCCAACCTCGTAAAAACGCACAAACAAGCCGCCACAACCTCGAGCTGCAGCTCCTTGTCCTTTGCCTTGTTTACTTCCTATTGTAACCCCTGTCAGCATATCATCCCCCCAATCTCCCCCCTCACCCCAGTGTACTCACCTCCGTAATAACCCCCGGCAGATTCTCCCCAATATCATTCCTCACCGCCCCCCTCCCAAACGGCCACTGGCTGTACTCGGCCAGCAGCTCATCCGTCTGGTTAAACGCCTTCTCCCTCGCCTCGTGCCCCAGCGTGCTCAGCGCGTTCTCCAGCACGTTCGCCGCGTACGCCGCGCACACCATCGCCACCGTCCTCAGGTACCTAAACTCCAGCCCCTCCGGCAGCCACTGCGAATTGTTCAGCACCACCGTCCGCTGCGTCAACACGTTGCGCACCCGCCTGCGAATCTCTTCCTTGGCGCCCCCGTCCACGACGGGGTGGGTCGCCATGTCAAACAGCAAAAAGTTGCGCTTTTCGGTGCGGAGGATGCCCTTGTCCACGAGGCCCTTGGCGAGCCGCTCGCGGACTTGTTTGAGTTGATAGCCGATTTTCATTAGGTTCCATGTTTCGCCTTTTTGTGGCGGTTGTTGTTAGTATTTGTGACAAAAAGGGAGAAAGAAAGAAAGAAGGATGTAAAATTTACCAGACATGAGATCAATCCAACTGCTCACACTCATCTTTTCACTGCTCTTCATCATCTTGAGCGCCTCGTCCAGCAGCACCTCCCCCGTCAACGTGTCATCCACCACCTCAATCACCCTGTCCGGCAGCGGGAGGTTCCTCCTCGAAGGGTTCTTTTGCATCGAGATCCTCCCGCGAAAGGCAAGCTCGAGGACGATGCAGCCGCGGAGGGCGTACGAGATGTTGTCGTTCCAGAAGGAGAGGTAACCCTACCACACCCGACGACAAATCAGTCAACCACCCACCACCACTGCTTTGTTATTGGGGGGAAGGGGGAAAACATACCTGCTTATCCTTCAACCCAAGCAACAACACCTCCTCCATCAGCGTCAACTTGGGCTGCTTCGACCTCTCGGCGCTCTCCGAGATGTCGCGGGGATCAAACGCAATCCGGTGACCGTTCTCCCCCGACTCGTAGGAAGTTTCTGGGCCGCCGCCACCGCCCGACGAGTTGCGGCCGCTGTCTTCTGTCGGGGTGGATGCGCCGCCCGTGGCACCGGCTCCGGCGGGGGGGCCGCCTCTCCGGCGCGTTAGGCCTGATGTGGTTGACATTTTTTTTGGGGGGGGGGGGGGAGGGTGTTTCGGTTTTGTCCGTCTATGCTATGTAGTATTTGTAGAATGTTATGTGGATCGGTGGTTCGTCGGCCGTGAGAGACTGTTGTTGATCTTCTTCTGTGGAAGAAAAAGAAATTCGACCGCTTTGCTTTCGTTGCTCCGGAGGCGGTGGGTGGGTAGTGTAGTGTAGTGTAGTGTAAATGGGGAGGAGGGGAGGCCTAGATTGGCCCGAGAGTGAAATTCGCGATTTGGTTTACTCGGTTGCTGATTGGGTCTTCGTAGAAAGCTTCCTAGCTATCAGAATTACCGCCCCGTTTTGAGACTGGAAGAGAATGGAGACCAATGTATCAATGTCGTCGTTGTCGTCGTCGGTGCGGTGGTGGTCGAGCCGATCAATGGAACAAGCGGGCGGTCGTTTCCGCGCGTCTCTCTCTCTCTCTCTCGGTCGGGAAGCTCTGGGACGAGAGAAAGCGGAACGGCTCCTGGTTTGGCTTTCTTGGAATTGCGCAGCGGGCTTGCTTGGCAGGGTTGCGCCAGGCTTGGGGGGGGGGGGAAGGGTCCAATTCGTCTTCTTGGAGAATCAAAATATCTTTGGACCGAGTCGATCTTTTTGTGATTAAGAAACTCGAGCAATACGAATATCCCTTGTGTCTCGAGGGCAATCTTGTCAGATGGCTCCCAGATTTGTGCTCTCCTCCCTTTTTGCTGCAGCTGCCTTTTCCCCTCAGGCTCAGCAACTGGCAAAAGGGGCTTAGGACGCCTGGCCGATAACGATAACAGGTGGCCTGTCAGCCTCACGAGCTCCAGTGCGCTCCGTGCGCTGCTGCACTGCATGGTCTTTGTGACCTGGGCTGTGCCGCAAGTTGATGCCTGGCGCCAAGGTGTAACTAATGTTAGGGTTCGGGTTTGGCGCGACGAATACGAAGAAAAAAGTATAATTCCAAAGTGCTCTACTGTAGATGTTCCCAATGCGCCTCCAAAGTTGTATGCATGTATATGGCCCCTTATATCATCCCCCGTCTGTCCTCTGTCTTCTCCATCCCCCATCCCCCATCATGCCCACTGTAGAAACGCCCTGGCCCCGTCCGCCAGTCCCAAAAAATCAGCTATGCAAGTGAACGAGTGTTGCTCCCTGTGTGGTTACGCTATCATGTATCATTCCATTCCTGCCCCATCATTCAAGAATGCCATCCATGTCCCAGTTGCCAGCTTGGGCCCGCCTCAGCACCTCTCTGCCCTTTTCTGTGAGCGAAGGCTTACCGGCCTTATCAGTAGCCTGCTCAAAGAATACCGGCGTCCAGGTCTCTCCCTTCTTCTCTCGCTCCCGAGCCTTCTCACGTTGGGCCTCCTCAAGCTCCTGTTTGACTGTTGTAGCCTTGCCAAATTGCTTGGCATGAATCGCCTTGGTGACTTCACTCCAAAGCTGAAGAGACTCGTTGGGGAGCTGCTTCTCAACAGGCGGGAGGACCTTTGGCGCCACACTCAATGGAGCAACATCAATGATGGTAATCTGCTGCTCTGGAGGGTGGGATTCCTAGTTGCGTGTTAGTCTCCCAAAAACCCAGTTTGAGCCATGTATGCAAATACTCACCAGAGGCTTGTTTCCAACAGTAAAGACAATCTTTTCTTTCCACGCGCCTCCAAGACGAATGAGGATATCCTCTACCGGTACGTCCTTGATTTGAGTCTTGTTGTCGTTTTCAGGATCATAGCGGAAGATGATGCCCTCCATTTTGTTGGTTGTCCGGCCAAGCCAGCCGTCATTATAGTATCGGAGGATGGCCTTGAGCTTGGTCTCAGGGCATGTGATGTAGCACATATCACCAACACTCACGCTCAAAGCGCCCGTCAGAATACCGCCCAGATGAGCGGCCGGGTGGGTGAGCTGGTATGTCTCATGATCTCGGCGGTCCACCGTGATGAAGATACCCAGATTGTGCTCGCCGGGCATAACCTTGATGGAGGTACCGGTGAACTTGGCTGTAATCTGGTCGAAGCCCTTGGCATGAAGGCCCTTTTCGGGGCAATCAATGTAGAAAGCGCTGACGGGAGGGTGATGAGAGGTCTGCTCTGTCAGGTAGGAAATCCTCACTGGCTTTGTAGGGTTGGCTGCCGACTGAGTGACTGATACGGTGGAGGCTGCCCGAGGGTCGCTGGAGCCAAGCCCTGCCGGGATGGCAGACTTGGCAGACTTCATACTAGAAGAGCTACTCCCTGGTGGACTCTTTCTGAGTGCCGAAGTGTCGATTCTCGGAGCATCATCCTCAGTTTCCCAGTTACACTGCTACCTATCAGCAAAAGTCCACGATCTCTCCCAACATCAAAGTCAACCTACCCGAAAGAACTCGCCCAAGCAAGAGTTGTAGGGCTTGCACGGCTTCCCCTTGGCATATTTCAAATCCTTGGTGAACCAGAATCGTAACACCTCGAGCATGCGATCTACAGGCTCATCGGCGGTTCCAATCGCGGCGAAAGCACTCGGGGAATCGAGGTAGTTCCAGTATTCAAGGTTTGGTGTAGGCTCGAGAAGCTGGGAGGGCAGCGAGAATCGAACGGCAGCGAGATCAGACACGCCGATAAACCTGTTGAAGGTGTGTGTGGTGTGAGCCAAATGTCACCGCCGGTCTTGGGACTCTCCAAGTTCCATATCGACACAGCCCATGTTTCATACTCACTTCTTCAAAATGCCAATAAAGGTCTTGAGCTTCGATCCGTCGCTCACATGGTCCTCACCGGCGTTGGCATCGGTAGGTGTCGCCGCCGAAGACGGAGCGGACGAGAACCAGCCAGACATGATGTAGATGCTGTCACTGTGCAGTCCCTAGACCTTCCTCCACACAGCGCGCGCGGTTCGATGAAGGGACGGTAGGTTATCCAGGGACTCTTCGATGATGGGTCGAGCAAGTGTCAACGGTGTTTGGGATATGGTGGAGGGCAAAGCGAGCCAAGTTCGTTCGAAGATTGTTTTAGGGTAGAATTCGAGGTTCAAAGGGCCAGGCTAGTGATGCACCCGGTGGGCGGTGGGCTAGCGTTGCTGGGGGATTCGCCGAGTCAGCCAATGCGGGAGGCCGGGCGCCACTTCGCGGTGATAAGCCGGGGGCCAGGAGCACTGCTGATAAGGAATTTCGATGCGGGGCAAAACCGCCTTCCAGCTTTTTAATGTGTTTTAAAGTTGCGGCCAACGTTTGTCTTTATGCTGTGCCATGCCCGTTCACCAGGCGGTCCATGCTTGAATCTTTTCAGCTATGGCCTTCCTCAGGACCAGCGGACCAGCGGGCTGGGAAGAGGGGGCAGATAAAGGTCAAGAGGCCACCCAGAAACATGCAAGTTCAATCCCAACCGAACCCCTCGAGTGAAACCCCAAGGCCTCGGTTACCTAGAAATGGGAGCTTTCCAGCCAATCAGAGCCCAGGGTTTGAACCACGGGCGTCACCAAGATGCTAATGACTACCTCGACAGTGTTCAGATAACACGGTGATGCCGCCTTGCGCCATCTATCTAGACTCTTCTGACGCTCTCTTGGCGAGTGATTGGGGAACGTGGGAGCAAGGAAGAGCTGGTGAATTCTTTTGGACATAGCTGAGACTCATCCGACCTTCAATACCAGGGGTCCAGCTGGTAGAACACGACATCACGGTTACACAGATAGGTGCGGGATCCTGCTGCAACGAAGAAAAGGTACCGACTTTTGTATGGCTGTTGGCCTGCGACAATATGAAGATGTACATGAGCTGTGTTCTCTTTCCTGCGGCCGTTGCTACTCAACGCTCAGCTATGCAACCACACTCTAGCCTTCAACACGATGCTCAGCCAGATCCAACGACAATATTTTGACTTCTGAATGGACCATTCAACGATACAACAACCCGCTGCTCATGGGAGCCATTGCGAGCTACATCAACACCGTCTTACAAGGAAGGTCGCTTCTCTGATTGCCTAGTCTAGATCCGTCTGACACCACGGCTGACCATTTACGAAGGAGATTCCCTATGAGTCCAAGAACTTCTTCAAGCAAGTAATAAAATGTGTGAAGTAGCGTATCTAGCAACAACTGTCCTCGTTCTCAGAGATGTCTTCCAAAGTCCTCTGAACCACGAGTAAAAGCACCCGAGGTACCTGGAGCCCCTGACCCATCTTCAAAACCTCGATGACCTGGTGCAGACAGTCGAGATCCGCTGAATATCAAATATATTCAGTATAGCGCGGCTTGATTTATTACTCCGAATGGTCGCCAGCCAGCCCTGTGTAGCCGGAAGAGCCATGACGCATTACATATGCAGATTCTGTCTTCGGCCACAATATCCTCTTTGACGATCAGACAGGTGTGACTGTCCTGTCCTCTTTTTGATAGAAATACCATTGTCTCTTCCTCTCCAATATCGACCAGACCATAAATGGAAATCTACGGTTGCCAACTCTTATACCTAGAATAATCTACAGCTCGCTTATACTAAACTGAACTACGGAATTCACTACTCTCTCCCGTGAACCATATAACTGACCGCTTACCTTCAGTAATATACTCTGGAGACTGTAATTCGAAACGCGGTTTTTTTCGGGGCTATGTAGATATCTCATGTAGCCTCCCTACTCTGATCGAGGAGATGGCTTGTAAACGAGTTACAAAGATATTGTTCAGGCCTTTGAGTAGGTTTCAAGACCTAATCTTCGAAGCATCTTCTTAGGGTAGCTGACTACATAAATACCTTACCTTTTCAGGTTTATGGCTTGAAAGATAAGATAAATGTAGCTCTCTGCGGATAACCAGGTAACTCTGAAATTGTTTTCTTTGTCATTTTTAGGGCCGACCAACAAATTTCCTTCGCTGATTTGCCCTCATGCTGCTATTACTCGAGATTCTTCAAGGACGGAGCTCGGAATTCCCAAACACAGATTTATATACCCAAGGTATATATGGGTATATATACAGGGAGACAAGAGCGAAACTTTCCATCTGGCAAATATTTGATGTCTTCCTTCAAGATGCCGCTTCCTCGCATCACCGAACGACAAAGTCATTTTAAGATATGTCGAGGTGAAGCTTGTCACGACCACCAAATGCCATCCTCACCTCTACTCCTCTACACCACACCCTCTCCTCCCAATATGCGCCATCATGCATACCGACTACAGGCAAAAATGTTGTATCCCCCGCCCACGGCACATGCAATGCCATTCCATGCCGTACTCCCAGAAGACGCTCCCCCGTGCGACACCCTTTTGCTGACGGACCCTCCCTGATAAGCTTCCCCTTCCGCACATGCCGGAAGCAAGGGACCAAAACCGACCGATCACTTGCATGACACCCCTCGGTGCCCTCCTCCCTCAAAGCTCCATCCCGAAATCCCATCCTTTGGTCCCACATCCCATCTCCCGGCTTCCCAACGGCCCCGTTCCGCAGTATCGGCCTGAGTTTGAACCCAGCTCCCACCTGCCGTTCCATGATCAACATACCCGAAGCCCGCCAGATCCGTACCTTACGCAAGCACCTTCAGGTCGGACTCGCTAAAAGACGAAGATCACCTGCAGTCGCCTGCCAACAGGAAACATAAAAATAAAGATTTTCCTCTCTCCTTCGGCTATCGAATACGAGAACTGGTACGCTGTCCTTAACGCCGGTCGACCAGTTCAGTTTGTCTGGGTAGCGAGTTTGGGAATGGGGCACTTGAACTGCCGATCATTAACTTTTGGGGTGGTCACCGAGTGCCAATGTTGGACTGCCCCTCGGTCGATCACCGCTGTAATACAGACACCACATGGTGTCGGGAGGGCGTATAGAAAGACACCACTTTCCCTCTGGAGTGGCTAGTTTTCGAATCATTCTTGCAATATTCTCATTACCAGCTGATCACCCATTCTCAACAACTCTCATCAAAGCACGATATAGGGACAGCAAGAAATTTCGAGAGATTACAACTCCAACCGCTGCTCAGCCACTCTCGGAAAATGAACACTCACAACGAACGCCGCCCATCAGTAACCACGGACTCCATAGCACGAGATTGGAAATATCACCTACCTGCACAGTAGAAGACCCAGTGTCTCTGTTTCCAGAAGAGGATCAAAGCACCAGCAAGCATGTAATATTTAACATAACCGAGCCAGGGCTTCATATCACCCCTCTCTTGTACGAGAAAATGCAAAGGCAACCCCCCTCCCCTTCTCCTGCAGCATAAACACCCGTTAACTGCAACCCTCAACCACCAGCCACGCCCCAGTGTTGAGGCATGGCAGGTGCATGTATCCCCACGCAGGGACGAGGCGGGTATTGATCACCCATCATCGATCAGCTTCCTTCTCCCCCGTTCTGGAAAACCACGACGATAGGCACGCACGTGGGTCCACAAAAGCAAGTTGACAAAAAACAGTTGTGCTTATACTACTTTAAACGGCCATACTATCACCGCTTTTAATATCTGCTGAATGGGATTTAGACAGTACACTCCTCAGTGCTTCAGAGTACTTGCTAAACTTTCGTTGACTTGTTTGGGCCAGAAATAGGTGGTCATCGCGCCGTCAAGTGAGCAGAGTCGGTGTTGGATTTGCACAACTGCTTGTTGGGTCCCGCGTGGCATGCCGGCGGTGATCGGCAGTCCTAGCACCACCACACGGTTTACCACAAAGGCAGTCGTCCCCGAGCAATCCCATCATTGTCATGCCATTTTTCAACTTTCCCATGTCCCCGGTTGCTCCCATCATCCCATTCTCTCCCCAATCTCGGGCTGCATAAGTGCGGCTTACCAACAGGTAGATAAGTAGGTAAGTGCTGGTGATGATCTTTTATAAATAACACTTTCGACGTCGCCTTGGGCTGCATCACCCCTTCTAGTAGATACATGATGACAAAAACACGTTTTGACCTTATGGGAAAGTGTTGATAGCCTGACACCCCCCGGATTTGTGACAGAATGCTTGAACCCAACTAAGAGTCTTGTTACTGGGATCAGTGTGAAGAGATCGCACTATTTCCCTAGGTAGGTGAAAATCGTACCACCCCACCTAACCTCCCTGTGTTTAGAAAACTTCACGAGATGTGCTTTCTCGTGTTTACCTTCTATCGTTGTATCAAACTACAACTTCAAGTTATTGCTCGAGAAGGGCTTTCCCTTAGTTGATGGCAAGGGTAGGTGCTTGCCATGTGGAGATGTTGTCACCCGTTTGCTAACCCGACAGCGAAAGCTCTCTCTTCTCAGCGCCGTTGAGAAGGAGAGTGACAAGAGCGTTTCTCGTTTTCTGCCAACAAAATGCACTGGTTGTGTGTTCATCATGTTTGCTGCAAGGACGTTCGTTAGGCCAACGTGGAAACCACGCCCACCCTGACAACCGTTTTCCACACCACCCAAAGACCACGCAACGAACCGGGGGTGGAAGCGGCGAGGTAGGGAGGTGATCAGCGTTCAGCCTGCCGCCCGCCGCGGGGTAAAGAAAGCGCTGCAACGGCGACGGTAGGGCAGAGAGAACGTTGACGGTTGACGGCAGCAGCAAACCAACCAGACAGGGAAAGGATTGGCCCACCAGAGAAACCATCATTCATCCAACTTTGGAGAACACAGCGGTGTATCCTGGTTGCTGGCACTGTGGTGTGAGACCCCTAAATTATGGTCTTTTGGAATGGTCATAGTTGCCATCTAATAGAAGACGGCCATGGTCATGTCTCTGGCCTCAAGACTGTGAGGTGAAGCGGTCGTTGAAGATAGAGTCATCTCTCTTATCTACCAATGAAACGACAACCATTCATACCACCCGTACCTACTTAGGTATGACGCGAAGAATGCCTCTAGTGCCCATTCTCTA